TCTAAGGGTATGATTCACTCAGGATAGCTAAGTTTTGGTTATAATCCAGGTTTATTTATCCCTTTAAATATCAAGACCTTTTATTATACAAAAGCACATACTAAGATGTGGTGATTTTGTCAACATTGTAATGAAAAATTTTACATAAGTATTTGTCTCTTATCCTATAAAATAGAGCTAATATGCAAATTAGACCAAACAGCAGAACGACCGTCTGGGCTGTGAGGGCTGACCAAGGCTGCGGGGGGCTGGACGACCTTCCAGACGAAGCCTGGGCTGTGAGGGCTGACCAAGGCTGCGGGGGACTGCGAGGGCTGAGCCCCTTACACAAATTTCGTGCATCGGGCCTCTAGTTAATAATAAACACTTATGTAGCACTTTTTATGTAACAGGGACTATTCTTAGCCCCTTATATACATTAACACATTTAATCATCACAATAACCATATGAGGTAAGTATTTTTATATCCACGTTTTAGAGATAAGGAGAGTTGGACACAACAAGGTAAACTACTCTGCCAAAGCCACACAGCTAATAAGTGGTGGAGCTAGAATGTGAACTCAAGACCCCTTGCTCCTGTCACTGTTAACCCCTATAGTATAATGCATAATATCTTTCCCAGTTCACTTGCAAGATAGTATATATTCTGGTTCTACATACAGGGAATGTATATTCTGATTTAATCTGGTATCTGGAATATGTAATATTGGTATATTTCCTTGTCCTTTTGCATTTCAGTTTAATGTATGATTTAATGATTTTTAACTTTTAAAGTCCAATTATACAGTAGACTTCATAAAGGCTGGTATTTGAATCCATGCCAGGCCTAGAGAAAAATCTAACAGTTATATCGCAAGTGAATGAATGAACAAACAAAAACTATACTGACTTTGTATCAATATTTTCATAGACTAAGTGTTTATAACCCCTAAAATTCATATGTTGACACTTAATCCCCAAAGTGACAGTATTTGGAGGTAGGGCCTTTTGTCAGTGATTAGGTCATGAGGGTAGAGCCCTCATTAATAGGATTAGTGCCCTTATAAATGAGGCTCCAGAGATCTCCCTCACCCTGTCTGCCATGTGAAGGTATAGCAAGAAGATGGTCATCTCTGAATCAGGAATAGGACACTCCCCAGACACCAATCTGCTGGTCCCTTGATCTTGGACTTCTCAGCCTCCAGAATGTGAGGAATTAATTTCTGTTGCTTATAAGCCACTCAGCCCACCATATTCTGATATAACAGGCCAAAGAAACACAAATATTTTGGCAGTTAGAGACTTTTGTGTTTTCTGCTTTTCTCTCCCTGGTGTTTCAGAGAGGTGAGATTTTATATAAATAAGGCACTGTGCTAGACACTGCAGGCTATCCCCATATGAATAAGATGAATATAATTGAGTATGGGACCAGTGAACTACTATAAAATTAGTCCTTATTTAAACTATATGAATTAGGAGAAACCATGACCAAAACAGATTTCTAAATCTCCCTATTTTACAAGTGAGATGATTTTTAATGTATAAAGTACTTACATATGTATTAAAATTGATGACTTAATTTTTAAAGCTAGTTAAGATACTCATCAAAGTTATTAAACACCTACAGAATGGTTCATTTTCTGGTGACTTTATGGCAAACAGGGTTACAAGATCACTCAAACATCCTAATGATACATTGACTTATACTGGGAGCAAAGACATCAAAAAAAATAAAAATAAAACCACCATCTGGTTGTGTTTGGATACTGCATGAGCAAATCTGGCAGCTTTCTCATAGCCTTCCCTTTCATGTACCATTTTGTCATTCTGAGCTGACCATTTCAGCCAACATTATGTTCTTTCAGATTTGTTAAAATCTAAAAGTATTTTAACAAAAGCAGTTTAAACTCAACTATGTCATTTTTCAGACATTAATCAAGCAGTCTGGAAACACAATCTATTCCAGAAGGACAATGCAGACAGGCCCTGGCCCCATAATATCTGATTGCCGGCTTGATTTGTTACTTGCCATGTAGGGAGAAAGTTGTGATATCCCAATAAAATGTGTATGGAGTCCTGCTTTTCAAGATGTAGCTGGGCAAAGAACAACCAAAGAGGACTTGGCAGCTGTGTTTCATCTGGGTCAGCTGTTATTAAGGGGCTTTTGTCCATGACCACTTATTGAGCATCCTCTTTGAACCAGATGCAGCACTAAATATACAGTGGGATTATCCCTCCATTCTCTTCCATGCTGGCAGCACTTTGGCAGAATTGTCTTTCTTTCAGTTCCTAGAATGCACCAGAGTCCTTTTGCCTTCAGTCTTCAAAGGCTCTGTTCCCTTCATCTGAATGACCACTCCCACCCCATTTCACCAGGCCATTTTCTACTTATCCTTTGACTCAGGTTAAATGTGTCTTTATCAAAGACTTTCAGTGACACCCTATACTGGTAGATATCCCATTACCTCTTTCATAACACCTTGTACTTTTCCTTCAGAGCACTTAACAGTGCTATAATTAAATAGTTATTTACCTATAATTAGTTTCATATTCTCTGCTAGGTGTAAGCTTCAGGAAGGCCAGGACAGAGTCACTCTGAGTCACCACTAGATTCCCAGCCACTACATGAGAGTGTTTGACACAGAATAGAGGCTCAGTAAGTGTTTGTTGAATGAGTAAATGAATGAATGCAGACAGACCATGCCCTCTATTTAATCACAGTATAGCACTGTTTCATTTTTATTGCATTATCTATGCTCTTTTCAGAATTCTTATTTTTAAATTAAGCTATAAATGCTAAAAAATAAAATGACCTAGTACTTGAGCATGGTGGGGGTGGTTAGTGGTGAGGTGGGTGGTGGGGAGATGAGTTAACTTCCACTTAGGTCTATCAGAACATCCAACCACCAGGGCATAGTGTGGTTTCACAAAAATGAGACTAAAGCCCCTTTCCATGTATTCTCTATAAAGTCTCAAAGAAAGTTTGAGAGTCAGTAGTTGCTAAATTAAATGGTCTTAATGATTAGCCTTTATATTAAATTAATAAAGCAATAGGTTTTTTATCTCTCCTTTTATTGATGGTTTTATACTGCAGAGTTTTTCTCAAATAATAATCCAATAAATAGTGAAACAGTTCTGGGTACAAAGAGAGAGTAGATATATAGAAAGAGAAGGTGACACTGAGGGGATTTGAGCTTTTTAATATGAAATCTGATTTGCATGTCAACCACGTTCCTGTAAGATTCAGATTGCCTGCATTAACGTGGTTAGTGTTTACACTTACATATGATGGTTTTTGAGGGATGATTGGTTGAATTTTTCTTACTACTCACATTCACATATTTACAAAGAAATTTTTGCACTATATTCTAAGATTTATATAAAAAAGAAAATAAAAACTATACCTAAGCTAACCATCAAAACTTATTTTACATGTTGGTATATTTCCTTGTCCTTTTGCCATTTATACACTTTATTGATTTTCTACAGTTGAGACAGAGTTTTATATATATACTAGAGGCCCAGTGCATGAAATTCATGCACAGGTAGGGTCCCTAGTGGGTGCTGGCTGTTGGCCGGGGCCTCTCTTTGCCCAGCGGGGCCGGTTGGAGGGAGGAGCCGTGGGTGGTTGGCCAGCCGCCCCCGCCTCCTGGTCGAACTCCAGGTTGAACTCCCAGTCAAGGGGACAATTTGCATATTAGGCTTTTATTATATAGGATAATTTTCATTTAACTTCTTTTAAATCTTCACCTGAGGATAGGTTTTTATTGATTTGAGAGAGAGGGGAAAGGAGAGAGAAAAGGAGGGATATGAGAGAAACATTGATTGCTCACCCTGGTATGCACCCTGACCAGGAATCGAACCCACAACCTAGGTATGTGCCCTGACCAGGAATCGAACCTGCAACCTTTTTGTGTACAGAATAACATGCCAATCAACTGAGTCATCTTGCCAGGGCATTTAACTTTTTATCTTGAGTCTTTCCCATATCATTAAGCCATCTTCATAAATACAATTTCTTGTGACTCTACTGGAAATCCAAGCTGTTTATTTTTCAGAAATTATAAACATATATTGACATAGACCTTTGTCTGAGTCTTTTACTTTTTTTACTTTAGGATAGATTCATAAAGTGAAATTACTGAGTAAAATGGCATGTACATTTTAAAGGCTTTTGATACATGTAGTAAAATTGCTTTTTTGAATGCTAAGAGCAATTTAATTCCTATTTGCTACATATGACAAGGCTTAATATCTTTGCCATATAAAAGGTCATACAAATAAATGAGAAAAATGTTCTAATAGTAAAATAGATTAAGACTATGATCAGAAAATTTACTAAAACTAAAATTTACATAGTCATATAAATATACATGAACAACATCAAATCTCATTAGGAATACAAATTATAATAAAAATACTATATTAATTATAATAACTTTTTATTTGAAAATATTCAAAGATAAGATTTATTCTTTATTTTCTTCTTAACATTAGGGGAAGCTGAGTAAAGGGCATATAGGAACTGTACTATTTTGATAACTTTTCTATAGATCTAAAATTATTTCAAAATAAAAAGTGAAAATTGTAATTTGTTCATAAATAGCTGTAGTGCTTATTCGGTAAGGTCATTGTACTTACTGATCTCATATAAATAAGCCAGAGAAATCCCAGAAACCTTCAATGAAGTATACCTTAGTAGCTCTTCTCTCAAGGTACATTCTAGTATTAAAAACAAATATAAGCTATTTCCAGTGAATGCTCTTACTTATTGCACAAGTCTCTGAACCTACTCCATATGTTACATACTCTCTCGTTTAATCCTTGTACAGTCCTAGAAAATAAGCAGTAAAATGATCAGGCTCATTTTACAGATGAGAAAGCCAAGGATGTAAGGTTGAACAATGCATCCAAAATCATATTCTAAAATGATTTACTTTAATTGGTTTCATTTATAAGATCTGTCCATTTGGCAGAAATGGCTTACATTTGGGGATTGAATGTTTGTCTTTATTTCCAGCTGGATATGGTGTACCTTTTCCAACAGATGAGCCTACAGACATTATTCCACGGAGCTGCCAACTAACGACAGATGTTCCACAAGTCACACAGCTGCTAAACATGACCAAACTCCGCCAAACTATAATAAAACTCGGAGGTCATCCTCTAAGCTCAGCAGAATCAGGTATGCACTTAGGCACCTAAATTACAAGCATAATTATTTGTAAGACCAAAAGAAAGGGGAAAAAACAACCTTGCAATTAATCTTTGTAGCTTGAATCTAAATACTACACTTCAGCATTGACTCATGTCAGTGAAATATTATTTTAAACTTCTTTTTAGCAACTAAAATTTTCCTGGAATTTTTACATAATAAATCAAAACATCCTCAATTATTCCTCTCCTTTTCCTACATGCTGCCATTTATACCTCCTAAATATCTCTTAAATCTGTATTTCTGTCTTGTTTTTCATTCATTGTTCTGGTCCCCAATGTCATTCATCTTAGCCTCCCAGTTAATCTCCACATTGCTGTAAGAACTCTCTTTCTGATAATAGAAATAGAAATATGATCCTGTCACTCTAATTAAAGTCTTTTTAAATTAAATGCCTTTCCAACTATCTTAGAAAACAATGTGAAAAGACCCTTGGGAACGCACACAAAGCCAGCCTCCCCTATCCCAAGCCTACAGCACAGTTTTCTTTCCAGACACCTTTCCCTCACTCCCCATGTGTGATCTCCTGATCACTCTGTGGGCTTTCACATGTTTATATTTGGGGATTGCTGTTTCATTGGCCTAAAATGGCTTCAAAGCTTGCCTTTCTGCTTGGAAAAACTCCCATTTACCTTTCTAGACCAGTGGCTCCTAACCTTTTGTTGGCCATGCCCCACCTAAGCATCTCTAAAATCCTAATGCCCCCTGTGACATATAATTCTTATTCAAAAAGTGAACTCCTGTTTAGGTGTAGTAAGCCTACAAGGCCATTAACTTGGTCTAAACAAGCTTCGAAAGAACATAGCATCCATGAAAGAAAAAAATAAAAGAACAAAAGGACAGTTGAAATACTGAGGAAGAAATCACTAAGATGTTGTTAAAAAAATAATAATATGAAGTGATATGAAAAAATAGCAAATAAAGTTTCAAAACATATAATAAAGAACTGAAATGCATACATATGTCACAATATATATTTATATACTGTATATGAGGCCCCTAGAACCATAAGAAATGCAAAACATTCACTATTAATAACTCATTCTCGAATTGACCCCTTAAAAATGAAATTGCCCTCCTGTAGGGTGTGTGCCCCACGTTGGGAACCACTGTTCTCTACCCAACTCAAAGGCCACCTCTTCTATGCAGCCTTTCCTAACTCTAACAAGCATTGTTCTCCTCTTTCCATGACTTTTCCCCTTTTCTTTTTCTTACTTTTTTTTTTGCAATACTTTTTCATATGTCTGCATACCCCAATAAAGTATGACTTCCTCATTCTTCTATTTCCCTAGCTTCTAACACAGCATGTGCCCTTTACCGGGCCAGGCGCTGCAGACTCAAATTACAAAAGAGGCCAGTCAGAAAACATAAATAAATAGTGACCTGGATGCCTGGATATTTGACACATAAAAACATTTTCTTTCAAAAGTGAGCCTTATTGGGAGTGGAGGGGAATTAGGGAAGAGGTTTGAGATAGTGCATCAAAGACATGGTTCTCTACTATTAAAGCAGTAACATTAACTACTATGCAAGTGATACAGTTGGTGGGAAATAACACTCAGCCCCTTTGAGGGAGCTGTAGGGAGTGGTGAGGGCTGCAGCAAACTAGAAGCTCATTGTTGCTGTAGAAGGGGAAACTGCAGCTCAGTTCTGGCCAAGTGCTGCCTTGCTGGAATGCAGGCCCAGTCTCACAGTTCCTCCTTTTTTTCCCCCAAGAATGGTATCCCGATGTTTATGATAAATCTCCCAATTTTAAAATATTATCAAAAGTCTAAATTTTTTTGTAAGCCTAACAAAACATGCCAGTGCATGCCAGTTCTCTGTCCCTGCCATACTTACCATAGCTATTGACCAAATGAATGAATAGTGCTTTACAAATCAAGAAGCCTAATATTATTTAGATGAGTTGTTCTCAACCTCCTGTGTTTTAGAATCACCTGAGATATTTTAAAAATAACTGATATAAAAAATTTTTATTATAATGTCTATGCTTCATTCCAAGAGATTCTGATTTAATTGGCCTGGGATGAATGTTTTTAAGCTCCCCCAGCAATTCTAATGTGCAGGGTTGAGAACCACAGGGTCACTTATTCCCACAAAGGTCGTGTGGTTTAGATGACACTCATAAACACTAGCGTGATTCAGAGGGGGTGAAATGGTCCTCATAGGGCACTTGTGGAGGAAGTGGATTTTGAAAGTATTCAGTAAACTATTGTATAGGTGTTTGTAATGAGTAAATAAATATAAGATTTGTGGATGTGAGAGACGGCACAGCACACTTCATGGAGCAGTTCCTGGGGGATTGCTGGGAGGAACAGCCTGAGTGGGCAGAATGGCTGTGTTGGGAACAAAAAGTGTGCCTCGTGTTCCTAAAGTAGAGAAATTATCACTTCTTTTTAGGAAGTTGAAGTTAATGTCAGGATTTAATATGAATTTGTAAATCAAGTGAGACCAGAGATTAAGGAGTACAACTAAAATGTCTTTGCAGCAAGTGTCTGTGAAAGTGGGACATAATGACCCTGAGGGGAACTGCAGGGGAAAACTGGCAGGACTTTGTGATTCTCAGATAACAGGTGGGGGAGGGAGAGTGGTCAAAGTTTGAGAGGTCAACATAGAAATAGGAAAAGGAGATACCCAGCATGACATGAATGAGCTGCAAAAATGGACTCAGTCTTACTCTGTACTTATCTTATGTTCATTTAATCTAGTAAATTTCTAATATATCATCAGCACTACATGTCCTAAATGATATATTCCTAAAGAATTGGGATTGATCTTACAATTTTTTCAGTGTAAACCCTGGCAGAAGACCATGTGTAAATAAGCACTACATTTTTAAGCCCTTTACTATTACTGACTTACAGAACAGTAGAGAGAATATATAATGAACCCCCATATCTCCATCATCTGCTTCCACGATTACCAACTTTGGGCAGAATTTTTGATAACAATGAGGGCATAAGTAGTGAGAATTTGTACATTTATTATATGCACTATCTTTAGATGGGTGGGGGGAGAAAGAGAGATATATACAATCCATTTTCATTACAGGATCTTTAGAAAAGATATAAAAGGATGAAAAAGATCCCACTACCCAGACAGCCACTTTAAACACATTGGGTTAAAATTCAATCTTAATGGAAGATTTGCCACAGAATGAAATGAGTAAGAGTGTTTTCGATAAACACACTATGTGTATCTAATAGGCTGTGATAGTTTTCAGTAATAGAAATGGTTAAGCTGTAAAGCCTATCAGATAATTCTCTGTGATTACACATGCTATTTGTCTTTTCTGTATCTCAATGTTTTAAGAATTAACTATGTCTTTAAAAAAGAATGTAAGTCTATAATCAAATATTTTAAGTGTCTTTTTTATTTAAAGTTCAAGGATACATAATGCCTGAGATTAAAGAGGAATTTGAATAAATATTAATTGCATCATTAAGTCAAAATTAAACAGAAACTTTTTCATAGGCCATATTTGATCCCAACTTGTAGAAGATGATGTTAGTTCATATTTTGCAAATTTCATAAATGGGTTCTCAATGCATAATAATTGTTCATTTGAGTCATATATACAAAAAATTAATAATCATCTAATAGCATATTTCTTCTGCCCTGTGAATCCCAATTATATTTATATTCATTTATAATCATAGAGATTATTATTATTTCTCTTAAGTAAATCTCATTGCACATGTATGGCAGCTAAGATTACATGAACATATATTGAACTTTGTGGCTCTCTTTCTATAAATAATTTTCTTTTTTTTTAATGGTTCTAAAGATGCTTAAGGAACTTAGTGCAAATTACAGCAGCATGAAAAGGGAAGTAGAGGCCATGAACCTATAAATAATTTTCAATTGCTAATTTTGACATGTGTGGGCTTTGAAATTAGATGAATATAATAATAATTTTGTTCTCTGTGTAAGATATTTTATCTGAAAGATATAGCTTATGAATAGTGCCTAAGGGCAGACTTTTTAATCACAGAAAAGCCAGGAGATATTTCTTTATTTGAACTAGGTATTTTTGTGTCTTTCTAAAAAAAAATGGACTCCCCCTGCTGAGATTTGAATTGCATGAGAATGGGCTGTGTTTTTGTAATTGACTGTACAGTACTCGTGTAAATTGTATTTTATTATAAATGCACATATTGAGAGATCCCTTATGAAGCTGCTGCAGGAAGAAGTAGGTGTTTCCTATGGATGCTTTCCAGCATGTTTACCCAAGCAAAAAAGGAAACATTGAGCCTGGCCTGGCCACTGTGGCTCAGTGGTTGAGCATCAACCTCAGAACCAGGAGTTCACAGTTTGATTCCTGGTCAGGGCTCTACCCTCAGTAGTGGGGGTGCAGGAAGCAGCCGATCAATGATTCTCATTATTGATGTTTCTCTCTCTCTCTCTCTCCCCCTTCCTCTCTGAAATCAATACAAATATTTTTTTAAAAAGAAACATTGAAACTTCTGTTTTAGAGTACACTTTATTAAATATCATATAACTTGATCAAAAGGATTTAACAAAATTAATAAAATAATTGTATTTCCATAAAGCCAGTGTTACCACATATTGGTACTGTTCACTTGTTCACTTTGTCAATTCCATTCCTGCTACACATTAGCTAATGAGTGTTAGTCTGCAGATGACTGTGAGATCTGATTATCTTATTTTCATTAATGGGACCACAGTTTAATTGAACCAGAGAATCAGGTCTGGTTATTGAAGTTGATCGTTCAGCTACTAATGACAAGATGTGGTAGTCCACTAAGCACAAATCAAAACTAGTAATTTACTTTAAAATTAGGAGGCAGTTTTCTCAAGCGCCCTTCTTTCCACAGCAGCAGTCTCATTGGATTTTTGCTCCTTTTAAATAAGAAGCATTCCTATCTCCTAGCACAACTGCAAACAGGTGAATTAATGCATCTAGCAAAATCAGGAAATAATCATCTAACTGTAGTTGGCATTGGTGA